TAAAAATGTTACCCTATTATTACTCTATTTTTCTAGTCACTGAGAAAATACAACTGCCATTTCTTACAGAGAATGTGAAACCGGGTAGGGTGTAGTAGCAATGGGTGAGCCCTCTCTCTTAGGACTCTTGCCTCCTAAACTTCTTGACCTAGAAGTTGAAAGACACATCTACATTCATTCAGAATCTCACCTTGTCACCATTATTTCCTATGGAGGAAGGTCTAGGTGGCTCTGTAAGTTTTTCAAAAGTCTGAGACAAAGAAATTTCTGTGGTATTTAGAAACTAACCCCAAACTGAGAATATTATCTGTTTGTATTCCATGACTGGCATCCTCAAAAAAACTTTGCAATTTATTTATAATTACAAAAGAGCTCAAAAATGCTTTTTCATAATGATAAAATAATTACAAAGTAGCTTCAAACATTTGGGTCAAACTCTTCAAATATCATTAATCTCATATACAAATTCTATATTTTCTAAGATATTGGCAAAGAACTTTTCTTTCTAAATCAAAAAGACTAGGAATAATATCTCACCTCCAAGGAGCCCTTCTTGAGTTACATAATCCATTTTCTCCTTCCAAAGTAATAATATTGCTATACCTACCTAGAGAACATCTTATGCAGATTTATATATATATGTATATATATATATATATACACACACACACATACTACAAGTAGCAAAAATTAAAGATTATTCTCAAATGAAACTGTTAAAATGCTTCTTAAACATAAAACACTGACCATTTGTTTTTGTTGAACATATTTTTTAAGAAATTTAAGAGAAGAATTGATGGAATTTTGAATGCCATAGCAAAAATTTTAGGATTCAAAAAAAGGTTTCAAGAAATGACACTACTCTAAAAATTTTGTCTAGTTGACAAAACTGGTTATAATCTTTGGTTGACAGTGAGGTGAGCTGGACTTCCAGTACATTTTTAAGTATGCAGAATAAGTGGCATACCACTTGAGAGCATAGAAAATGTCAGTATTCATACAACTGAGTGGCTTGATTATAATATGCCATAGAATCATACATTGGTTATCAAATTTAAGATGCCAGCATACACTCTTCAGTGGTCTTTCTTCTCAAATATGTGATAAATATTAATAACTAGGTTCAGAAATATAACAACCTAGCTGATATCACCCCCTAGCTGATCTTATACAAAAACAAAAAGTCAAAGCAGAGTTGTTGACAAGGCCTATATATCCCAACCAATTATAACTACTGTTCCTATCATAACTACTGTTTCAGGTGTTATTTTCAAAATTTTGGGTCATACAGCTTAGAAATTAATGTATACCATCTTTCATTGGTGCTTTAGAAAATATGAAATGCAAGATAGCTCTATGACCAGAAAAGTCTAGTTCCTATTCCTGCCTATATCACACCCACCATATTTTCCATTTAGCATTTAAAATCAGGCCTTAAACTTGAAAGGATCACTATTATTCCATGCTAGGCAATACAGATGGATGGATAGATAGATCTATCTATTATGGAAATTACTTCACTTGGTTTTAGATAATCTCCAGTTAATATCTCTTAGGAATACATTTGCCCTTTAATCTATATCATCTGAGAAGGATCAGGTTATTCCTTCAAGAACTGGTCCTAAATTTAGTCACAACTTTGTATTCAAAGAATGAACAGGGGCTTACCTGGTGGTGCAGGGTTAAAGTCTCAGCACTACTGAGCTATTACAAGCCACTGTGGCATGAGCTCAATACCTACCCAGAAAGCTACCCCACATAGCACAACAGACCTCTCCTGTCTCATCCCGCTGCTCCCCTCAGAAGTGCATTTCAGAAGATCTACCTGTTCTGCTCTTCATTCTTGGTTTGGTGAATCCTCTTACCCCCCCACACCTCTGGCCTACACCCCAGTTCTTGTATGCATAAATAAAATAAATAAATCTTAAAAATAAAAAGTGAAAGAAGTGTCTAATCAATATTCTCATTTTCACAGATGAAGATGAGTCCAAGGAGGTTTAAAAAAAAAAAACAAAACACAGAAGCAAACAAAAAATTGTGGTCACACTGGTGGCAGATGTATAACAACATTCTATTACCAAATGAATTTGACTCAACTTAAATTACCCCCAAGGACACCATACCCACAAGTGACTTAAGAAATGGATCACCAGATAACCTTTACTCTATTTTGGAACATTAGCTAGCTAAGAAGCAAGAGGAACTGGCACTGCCTCCTTCCCGGGCTGCTGATCACACCTCAGTCTATGACTTCCCCACGAGCTACAGGCATGAGTCTTGCAACAGGAGGGCATGCAAAGAAATTCTCAGGCACTCACACCATTCACCACAGTTACTCTTTGCACTAAGAGCCACCAACTTTGGGAATGATTTGGCAACCATAAACTGCCTTGCAACAATCACCAGTTAAGTTTTCTATAATGGTATTTTTCTCACTACTGCCAAATTCACCTTTTCTTAATCCAAGGAATGAATATTAAGTTTCACATGCTCTCAAATTGTACAAATTTCTAAAGGTGTTATGTGGTTAAATTCAAATTTAATCCAGTCTTTCTCAACAGGAGCACTATGATCATTAACCATCATTGGTCTTCTGTCTTCTAAATCCTAGTCTGACCCCACATATTTACATTTTCCACTTACAAATAACCCTGGAGGGGAATATACCACTGCCAGGACTTGCCAGGAGGTCAAGATTAAGTGATCTACGAAGCAAAGAAATATGTTTACATAAAGATGAATACCTGATTCCTTTTGCCTGCCACTAAGTGCCTTCTTCTACTCCTTTTTAGACCAGTAATTAGTCAGAATATTTTGCTTATTAACTCCTTAAAATCAACTAAATCTAAACTAGTTACATAATTAAGATACTTGCATGGTCAGCAAAGTAGAGTAAAAAAGTTACAGGGATGGAATCAGGCCTCTGACTTTGAATTTCAGTTTTCTGGCTATTCAACCTTAAGCAAGTTTTCTCATGTTTTTAAATAAAAGGTGTTAGTCTAAACTACCTCTGGTTGACTGGAGTTTTGTGAATCTGTAAAGTATAACATAATTAAGTTGCTTTATTCTTTTCTTTCAATCTTCTCATATATACTTGGGAGTAAATGCTGACATTATCTTTCAATCAGGACCCCAAAGCCCCAGGTATAACCAAAAGACAAGACAGTGACAGTCCAGTGATAGACAGACCCAGCTTGGGATTCTACTACAGAGTTTATACCTTGAGTGTATAAAAAGGAGCTGAATTATTTTATGGCCTATTAATAAAAGAAGCATGAAGATAATAACAGAAGCAATAGCCACCCTAACTGATGTTTATCTAGGCTAGACCTATAATCTTAATCCTGACTATACATTAGCCAGATGGTCCTAACTTTTAAAAAAATGGGCCAGCTCCAGTTAAGCAACTATATCAGAAATCTATAGGGAAAGGGCTCATTTCTTAAGGCTTTCCAAGTGATTCTCATGGACAGAGTAAACCAGGAGCCACTGTTTCAGATCCTTCAATCCAGAAATGCAAAGTAAATAAACAGAATGGCTGGTATCTCAGACACTGGTTCTTCATAACACATCAATAGATCAGACTCATCTAGTGACATTCTTAATTAGATAAAGAAATGTGTTTCTAGAGGAAAAGGAGAGCTCTATAACAAACTCTTGATTCTAGCATGGCTCTTTATTGAGAACTAGCCCTGCCAGAAATAGAATATAAATTCCTCACAAGACACAGTTCAAAGAAAGATTATTACAAATTTGCCTACCCCTGCACAAGTCCTATCATCACCAAGACAGTTACAACAATGTTAGTCAGAGGAGGACAGAGACTAAATTCCTCAACCTCTCACTTATTTGGTCTCCCTAAAAGACCTCAAATGTACAAGGAAGAACAAGGAAAATAGAGAAGAACATCCAGGAAATGTGCAAACTGGGTTCCCAGATCCAATTCCAACAACTGTATGGATGGGTCTCCCCAAACCAACAAGTAATTCTCGCACACATGAGGGTTTCTCAGAGTTCAGCTCAATTCTGACACTATTCCGATTCCATAGGTCAAGGGCTCAGTCTCCAAGACCACCCTCCAAAACAAGTCCCAAGCCCAGACTACCTGGCTGCAGACTGGAGATCCAATGACAACCTTCTCAGACTTCAGGTTCCTGTCCAAAGCCCAGATTGCTTCTGTGCTTCTGCCCAAGGAGCTATAAATCAGTTGTGCAGGATACCCTCCTCAGGTTGCATTAATAATGCTAGAAAGGCACACAGAACTCAGGAAACCTTTCACTCACTAGATCACAAACTTATTACAAAGGCTGTAACTCAGGAACAGCAGGATGGAAGAAGTGCACTGGGTATGGTACAGGGAAAAAACACAGAGCTCCATGTCTTCTCCAGACACACCATCTCCCAAATCTCCATATGTTCACCAAGCTAGGAGCTTTCTGAAGACCCTCCTCTTAGGGTCTACAGAGGCTTTATTACACAGGTATAACTCATTAACTCATTGGCCTTCGGCATCTTACTCAATCCCTAACCCCTAGTCCCTGGTCCCTCCTCCCTTACCCCTCTTCAGAGGTGGTGGAACTAGAACTCCCAACCCTCTCTGGAAAACTAGCTAGGAGCTCTTGACAACTAGCTACTATCCTAAGGTACTTCCCCAAAAGTCGCTTCATTAATATAACAAAAGTCGCATATTATCACGCCCTATACAGACAAAATTCCAAGGTCTTGGGAGCATGAGTCAAAAACTGTGTGTAGAAGAAACACACTTTGGTCATCTTAATGATCAAATATATGTATTTCCTATAAATCACAGTATCACAAAAAGACATTTTGAAAACTTGCACTCCTGGCAAAATACACTATTTCTTTTCAAAGCTCTAAGTCCAGTGGTAACAAAAGGCAAAGCAATCTTGGCTAAAATTATTCTTGCTCTTTTCAAAACAAAGTCAGTGAAACCAATAAGACAGGTTAAATGAATAAAACATTAAACTTTTCTCTCTTACCTCATGTTTGAGGCCAAGAAGCCATCAGGTAGGCCAGGGAGCCCCAAGTCAGAGAGTGTGTCTGAGCCAATAGAAGCTGGTGACAGAGAGCCCTCCTTTTCCTCCAGCAGGTCCAGCTTCACCAGGTTGCTGATTTCATCTTCTGAGTTGTCTTCAGACACAGAGCCAATTATGAATCGGGAGTGCTGGTTCAACTCCAGAGGTTTAGTCAAGGGAGATGGTTCATCCATTATTCTTTCAAAATGAACTCTCAAAGCTATTGGGAGAATGGAGATTAAGTGAAAAAGAGTGAGGTATTGAATGATAACCTGAACCTGAGGATAGCCACAGGCTCTACACATCTAATATACCACAGCTGGTCCCTGAAACAAAGCAGAGTTTGAGAACTCCTTTCCTTAGCTACTCCATTTCAGGGCCTTTGTTTTTTACACAGAGAGAAAATCAATGTAACTACACCTATAAAAATTAAAACCAGTTCTCCTTTTCCTCAAAGAAATCTCTCAAAAAACAGTAACCATCAATAATCTCTCTAACAATTTAGTGATGCTGAAGAGATAATTATGATCAATAGAGAAACCTTTGCAGTAGGTTAAAGTGGCTTGTTTTATTACTGCAGTTTCAATATTAGTACCAGAGGGAATGCTAGGTAAGGATTTAGGGAGGGTGGTAGTTGTCTGAAACTTGCTACTGATTGAAGTAGGTGTTTATTCTAGAATAACCTACAAAACTATCATTTCGCTCCAAACTTTACTGTGAGAATGTATACTATGAACTTTACATAAGTGCATACCTTTTAAGCACTCTTCACATGGTGTTTTTTACTAAAAATGTTTTTGTGTGTGTGTTTTTTTTTCTTAAATTACATCTTTTAAAAATTCATCCAAAAAGTCGACTCTCAAGGATCTAAAAAGCTGGTACTGATGAGAGAGAAAATCAAATCTAACAAATGTAAACCTACAATTAAAGTATCAGAGGTATAACCTCAGTTAAGTATATAAGTTTTCTAAATATAGGACCTCACTAGTCAGGATTAGATATTGGCACTCACAAGCTACATAATAAGACCAAAACACAGATCAAAGTCCACAATAACAGTAAAAAAAAAAAAAAAAGTTTATTCTGTCATTCTAAAAATCCGATTTTAAAAACCTCCAAAGCTACAAATCAGTTCACAACTTAAAAAGATTTTAGCATATTTCAATTTAAGGGCTAGTGATTTCAATTCTGATTTTGAGGTGATCCAAGAAACGATATACAATAACATAATAAATAAATGTATTATTAATGTATACACTACAAACCACTCCTTAGAACACCCAAAGATACAATAGCAAAATGTCTACTTCTTTCACATTTTAGAGCAGGGAATACTCAGGTTTAAAAATCATAATAGATCCGAAAAAAATTCCATGTCAAACTAACAGGAAATAATAAATAAATAATAAATTTCTTCACAGAGAAATAAGCACACAGGTGAAGAGTACAGCTTACAGTCTGACTGAAATTAGGTGAGCACACACAAAAATAAAGCTTATAAGAAAGGAGCAGTTTGGGAAATTTGGAATCCTGGCTAGGATTCCATGGGGAAACTAAAAAGAATTACAAAGTGTAGGCCCTGGACTAAACATTGGAAGTCTCCATAAGGTTAACTTTAAATTTTTCTTTTCTAGCTAAGAACATGAAGGCAGACTGCCTTAAAGGGTTCAAAGACTGAAGTAGTTCAGTGTCAACAGCTGAAGAGGCTTTCCAGCAACCAGCAACTTTACTGAATGGTGTTCACAGACACCAGTGTACAAACCACCAGGAAAGAGAAGTCATGTATGGAAAAGTACTGAGTAGCTGTCCAGACACTCTAGAAGCTACTCTTCAGCCCGTCTCATTTCAACTGAATCAAGTCCTGAATTAAAAAGAGATGGTGTAGAATACGAGCACTATCAACTAATTCACTTGTTATCCCCCCTAAATCTGCCTGTATTCTTTTGTACAAGACAACTTTTAACATAAAAGCACACAGTTTAATATTTTAACACACAAACAAAAACTTTTATCACACTTTAAACATCAACAAGCTTTAATTGTTACTAACCTCTTATAATTCTTAATGTCTGAGCAGATATTCTTCTCCAAAAAGAACTAAAGAGAAAAAGAGAGATTAAAATGTTTTAAGAAACCCAAATGTTATCAATTTCTGTTTTCCTCAGTATAATATAAAACTAATAATATTCAAAATATTTTTCTGGTTAAATCTATTTAACTATTGAATATAAAGTTCAATTATTTAACTACTATTTGCTCAAATCTATAAATAAAAAGCACTACACCTTCAAAGACTTTATTATTCATGACAGTATTAAACAGTAATCCAAGTTTACCATTTCACTGGATCCCTTTTCCAATAGTACACTTTGATGAATACATTCCAATCCTATGACCTTTAATATCACATCAAAAAAGAGGCAGTGGGAAGAAGAGTACCCCTAGAGTCTCTACAATTCAAATCAGGTTCTGGTTATGTTTCCAAACATTTATACCCACACACAAAGGCTGGGGAGCAAGACAGAGGAGAGACCTCCCATTCTATTAAGTCCCTAAACTCTCAGACACCAAGGAGTCTCTAAACTACTTCCCAAAACCTGGGTTTCCTGCTAAGCCCAAAAATTTTAATGTATCCAGAGTAAAAATGATCAACTTTGACTATAAGAATCAATGGTGGGGCTTTTCAAACACATAAATGCCTAAACACAACCCAAGATGTACTTTATCACAATCACTGCTGGAGACCCATAACCTGAATATTAAGTTACACAGTTGATTGACACTGATTCAAAGCCAGGCTTGAGAACCAAGCTGAAAAATTAAAGGCCCCGTGAAGTCAACTTCAAATTTTATTGCCTAGCTAAGAACATGGAGACAATGTTCTCTGAAGAGTCGCAAAGACTGGTAGCAGCTTAGTGTCAAACAGCTACTGTCAGTCTAGCATCCCACAACTCTGGAAAGGAGTCTAGAATGGAGTAGAAAAGAACATATGACACATTATCAGGAAATCTAATAAAACTTCTGAGAGAATCCTGAGTGACAAGCAGGATTAGAGACAGTGCAGCAATGTTAACTGGGGGATTAGGGTTTACCCAATTATGTAGTCTGAAGTAGTATTATTCCCTACAAGGTAGGGAAGGAAGTGAGATGAGAAGAGGAAGGAAAAAGGAAGTAGCTTGGATTAGATGTAACCAAAGGTGTAGTGTAACTGTGCTGGGAGAAAGGATGTCAAACAAACTCCACACAACAGGCTTTATGGTCCCTACTCCCAACCCAGACCAAAGAGATCCAGGACCCCAAGAGCCATAAATCCCATAATGTCATCAGCACCAAAGGGAGGATGCTGGGAAATGAAGGTGGAGTTAAGCAGCCAGGGTTGATATAAAACCAGACATGTGGGCCATGGGGGTCTTTGGTGTTTCACTGCCTATCAAGCTCTATAGATCTTGTAGGATGTGTTCATCAACTTCTTTCTCTTTATCCCCAAGTTATTTACTTCTTCATTTCCCTTTTTTTGTAAAAAAAATTAAAAAAAAAAACCCTTTATTGCCCTTTCTGTGTGTACCTGCAGTTGAGTCTCTTTATAAATCCCCTTTTAGCACACAGGTAAGGATCCAACAGTCAGGCAACCCATTTCACATTGGGTTGGCCTGTTTAAAAAGTTGGAGTCAAAACCTAGGATCCACCCTAACTTGCCAAGTATTGCCAGTACAAACAATCACTTAAGGCCTCTTAGCCTCTTTATCTGTATGATAAAAAGGGCAGATGTACTTTACAGGACCACTGTGAGGACTCAGAATATATAAATACACGAGGACTCAGAATATATAAATACACGAAAGGATTTTGTAAATTATGATACCTTAGATGAATGTTTTTCATAGTATGAGTTATCATAGTCTGGGTTAGTATTCTTTAGAATACTAAAGAAGTCGATTTAGAGGGCTGTAACTTTTTAAAAATGAAATACAAATAAAAAATGTTAAGAGTGCACCATACTTTATAAGAATATTGCTTCATAATTTTTTGTCACTTGTATATAAGTCATGATATTAATGACAACTTATTGTAAGTTGTGTCGTAAGTCCCTAAACCAAAGTTTCTTAAACTTTCCTAGGCAAAGACCCAATTAAAATTCTGGAAAAAAAAAAGGAACCCTTCCCGAAAAAAAAGCAACCCCCAAAAAATTTTACTTATATATATGTTTGGGATCCTTAAACCCTGCCATGAATTAAGTTAAGGCCATTCTTTCAAAGAATGGAGTTGACCTTTGGCAAAGATCATCTGCTGTCCCCTAGAATTAATTCAAGGCTGTTTTGCTGTAGAATCTTCTGCCTATACAAATAAATATTTTATCCATTGTATCAAACTATTGACAATGTCAAAATGTCATTTAAAAAAAAAAAAAAGCATGGCCCTCCCTGGTGGAGCAGCTGGTTAAAGCACTGCACTGAGAAGCTAAAGCCACTTTCGCATGAGGCGAGGCAGACCTCTCCTGACCCGCCCGCTGCTCCCCTCAGCAGTGTACTTCGTTGATCTGCCTGTTCTGCTCCCTGCTCTGTCTCTGGTGGGGCCTCTCACCGCCCCTGAGCCTCTGGCCTGTACCCCAGTTCTGTATGTACAAATAAATAAATCTTTAAAAAAAAAAAAAAGCATATAATGTGTTCTTAAGTCTTATTTGGGAACACTTGAAAATGTTTGCTAAAGGCTCCCAAACTATATTCTATGTTCCTGAAAACAGAGTAGTGTCAATCATAACTAATTAACCTATTCAAGAGTCAGCCTACATTTCATTCAGAAATACTCCTCTACATAAAATTGAACAGATTTTACTAAACGTAGTTAACATGTTATCCTTGAACTCAAATGACACTGTTTTTTTCCAGCAATTCTAATACAGAGGTAACAATAATTTTCACAGCCACCGATAAAAATAGCAAAGCTAACAACACATCCTTGCCTTTTTAAGCCAGTAACTTCCATTTAATTTTTTTAAAAGGAATAACTGAATTTGCCTTTTTCAGTTTGTCATTTTATTGATGAAATTTTAAATAAACTTCAATACTAATTCATTGATCAAGAAGAAAGTTAGAGGTTTTATTTAAGCAACATTTTATTTTCCTATAAGTTTTATATTTTAAAATAAGCACATGTTCTAGATTGTGAGATACATGTGTATCCAAAAAAGAAAATAATAAGACTTAGTCCCTAAGTGTTTAAAACACCTAACTAAACATACAATTACAGTAGAATAATAGGTTAAGTATGAAAACACAGAAAGGAACTTTAATCAAACTTGAAAGTAGTAATATGTTGAGGATAGCAATCAAGGTGGAATTCCTAGAGTAGGAAAATGTTAGCAATGAAGAACTGATGAGATAAGCAAGGAGGGAGACTAGAGTAGAACTGGAGCCTACTGCTCTACCAGCCTAATAAAGATTGAAAATCTTTTTTCTAGAGACAGAGGTTTTTAATGTAGGAGATACCAACTAGCAACATTAAAGGGAAAGGTACAATATTAAAAATGCATATATTAAGTAAACACTAGGTAAGATTTTCCAGTCTTCTATTCTCAAGGTTTACCCTCCAGGAAGGAAAATGGAGGACCATCCTTTGCAAAATGTAACTAAGGGAGGTGGGGGGGGTTCAAGTAGTTAACAATGGAGTTCCCTAATTAAAACACCATACAGTGAACTTAATAGTCAAGAGGCCCTTTACATTCTCGTTTTCAAGTCAGCTTTCAATCACCCCATCTTAAACATAAGCAAACAATTAGTGATTACTTGATGTTGAGAAAAACCAAAACAGAGAAGAGGAAACACTTTTTAACCCATTTTATGAAGGCAGCATTACCCTGATACCAAAGACAAAGACAATACAAGAAAGGAAAATAAAGACTGATATTCTTTATAAACACTCATGAAAAAAATCCTCAAAAAAATACTAGCAAGCAGAAGTCACAGCATATTAAAAAGAAAATACAGGCCCTCCCTGGTGGCACAAGGGGTTGAAGCGCAGCATTATGAAGCTATCCACAGTCACTGCACCAGGAGTTTGATCCCAGCCAGGGAGGTGACCCAAATGGTGCAGCAGACTTCTCCTATCTCACCTGCTTCTCCTCCCAGCAGTATATTTCTACCTGTTCTATTCCCTGCTGTCTCTGGTGAACCCTTTCAACAACACCAACACCACCACCACTACCCCACACCGCACCTCTAGCCTGTACCATCTTATATACATAAATAAGTAAAACTTTTTTTAAAAAGTCTTTTGGAAAAAATAAAAGGATAATACACAATGATCTACTGGGATGCAGGGTTCTTCAACATACAAAAAACTATCAATTACTTCACCTGTTATAAATTCTTGGCACAAATTCCAGCATGAATCTGTAGAGACTTCCCTGCACCAATAAACAATTCTAAGACACCTTCATTAATACATAAAAGATAGCTTTATCACTCAGGAAATTTCAAGGCTTTGGGAGCAATGAGCCAAGAACTATGGATGAAATCCAAATATATGTAATAAATATATACCTTGATCATTTGAAAAACAAAGGTACATGTTTATTATAAGTAACAATAATACTGTGATACCACACTAACAAAGTTAAAGAAAATTACATGCTTATTTTTATTCATGCAAAAAAAGCAACTGATAAAATTCAACACTCATAAAAAACACTAAACAAGTAGGTACAGAAGGAAATTTCCTCACACATTAAAGGACATGCATGAAAATCCCACAGCAAACATCATACTTAAATGATGAATGATGGAAAATTTTCTCTCTTAAGATCAGAAACAGAGCAAGCAAGTCCATTTTCACAACTACTTTAATACAGTAGTGAAGTCCAATCAGAGCAATTAAGAAAAGAGAAATAAAAGGCATCCAAATTGGAAAATAAGAAGTCAAATTATCTGTCTGTGATGCTACATTTAGAAAACCCTAGGAATTCTACTGAAAAACTGTTAGAATAAGTGAATTTAGCAAAGTAGCAGACACAAAGTCAACATACAAAAACTAGTTATATTTCCATACACTAATATTGAACAATCTGAAAAGAAAATTTGCAAAAACAATTTCATTTACAA